AAAAAAGAAAGAAATCTTTTTATGTTTACCCAAATGTTTACCATTTCCGACACTCTTCATTTCTTTGTATAGATCTGGGTTTCCATTTGATGTAAATATACATCAGATTTCAGAATTTTCTTTTAATATCTCTTATTGTGGAGATCAAATCCTCTTAACTGATAATGCCTTTTCTTTGCCTGATTTTAAAAGATATACCATTTTAACTTGACAGGTTTTTTTTCTTGCAGCTCTTTTGTTACCCTGTCATCAGTTTTGCTTTTTTTCTGGTAAAACGTCAGTAGTGAAGCTTTGTTTGTAGATATAATATGTCCTTATATTATTTGACTTCTCTTAAGGTTTTCTCTTCATTGTTGGCTTTTAGCAATTTGACCATGCCTTAGTGTGGTTTCCTTAATTGGAGTTTCTTGAGCTTTCTGTGGGGTTTTCTCAAAACAAATTTATATATTTTCCTGTCTCCTTCCTCTTTTCTGAATGTCCAGTTATACGTGTCTCAGAATTCTTGATATTGTATGGATCACAGAACCTCTGGTTATTTTTCTCTCAGTCTTTTTTGTTTCCATACTTTGGTTTGAATGATTGTTCTGTTGTCAGGTTTATTGTTTTTATTTTTTTCTACTTCAGTTTTGTATTTGCTTGTAAGCTCATTTAGTGCATTGCTCATATCCTATTCCAGAACAGATATTATGTCAAAACTCAGAAAGCTTTATTTGATTTTGGGGGTTTATTTGTGTGTGTGTTTGATTTTTGAGACAGGCTCTCATATATATTTCAGGCTGACCTTGAACTCACTGTGTAGTACAGGCTGGCTTTGAATTTGTAGCACTCCTCCTGCATCAGCTTCCCAAGTGCTAGAATTACAGGCATGGGCTACCATGCCCTGTTTATTTGGTTTGTTATTTGGTTTTCAATTAAAAAAAATAATTTTGTCTTGAAGTTCTTGGAAAATTTTGTAATACTTAGTTTTAATCACTAGTGGTTTGAACCATCTTTGGTACATGTATGACTGTCCCATTGGGTAACTTGAATCACCGGTGATTAGTCATTTAACATAAGATCATAGAATTCAAATGAGAGCTACCTGGCAGTGAGATGTACAATTTACGACCCATCATGAATGTGTTAAGACTGTGTGCTAATTTTGTGACATCTGTTATTTTTGAGTCTGTATGGAGTCTTTTTATTTTTTTTTCTGTTTCCAATATTGCTATATTTGTGGATCAGGTTCTTTCTCCTTTCATTTCTTTTAAAGGGGGATTGTTGTGGTCATATTTGCCATCCGATTTAGAGTTTGCAAACAAAAACAAAATTTTGCCAAATGTTTTGTTTGGGAACCAAATTGTTGGTAAACAAAAACATTTGTGAACGAAGGTACTACTGTATTTTGAATTTTTTCCCCATACTTGGAAGGTTTTCTGTTATGAATTCTGTAAACAATTTTTTATTCCATGCTGCCTGTCTTCTAACTTTAATTGCAACTCCTAGGTTAGTTCTAACTATTGTTGTTGTTTTTGTTGTTTTTGGTACCGGGAATCAAATTTGGGTCCTTGTGCTTGCTCAGCATTCGGCGAAACCACTGAGCTAAATCCCTGGCCCAGTTCTTACTTTAATTGTTACTCCTAGGTTAGTTTTTGTGTCCCCTAATAGCCATTGTATCAATTTTCCTTGCTGTTTTGTTTTTAAAGTATCTAAGTATGTATGATCTTGTTTATCATATATATCTTATAGATTTGATATTCTTTCCTCACATTGGTCAATTTTGCTGCTCATATATTTGATAAAATTCTTTATGTCTGGGATTTTTCTTTAGCATCTTTTGGTAGACTGATTCATTGGTAAATTTGCCACTCATGTTTGAATCACTTTGGTTCACTCTTGTAATTTTTTATTTGACTCTTTAAGCTCACTGATCAATTTGTTTATTAAGTCCATTATTTGGTTATGTCATGTTTTAACTTGCCAAGTTCTTTTGTTTCTTCTTTGATCATTTGAAGCAATTCAGCCATTTGATTTCTACTGTTTTCCCTATTTTCTACTATTTTGCCCTTTGGATTTGCTTTTTCTGAGTGAGGAGTCTTTGGAGCCATTTTGTTGTCTTGTTTTCTCATGCTTCTACTGTGCATGTGTGTGTGTGTGTGTGTGTGTGTGCGCGCGCACGTGTGCACTCGTGTGCTTATTTCATCTCACAAGCTGTGATTCTCTTCCTGATGGAGAGGTTAGAGTGATTGTGAGCCTGTTCCATCAGCCAGGCTGCCACTGAAATACCAGCTCTCTCCTTCAGCATGATCTTCTCCCATGATGGCCTGTACAGCTGGACTTTGGGTATGGTGTATGCCATGATCCAGTACTGGTTTGGCATCCCTTTATAAACCTCTGTAATGCTGGATTTTGGTCCAGTGAGTTTCTCTTTTCATTTGTTCTCTCATATCAGGCTTTTTATTTAGCCCCTGCCTAGGGTATCTGCTCTGCCCTGGTGCACTGTTCAGAGGCTCCCTCCTTTTCTGTCACCCCTAGTAGGCCATGATGATCTCTTTCTGGAATGAAATATTTTTAATGAGCTACATATTTCTGAGAACTGCTAACACAAAACATATTGAAAATCGTTTTCTTGATGAATTAAATTATCATAAGCATCAAAAATATTAAATTAAATTTGAATTATGATATTCCTCTTTCTTTATCATCTTTATATCCTACTGTCTACAATAAATTGATTTTTTGTTGGGGTACCGGAGATTGAACTCAGGATCTTTCACTTTCAAGGCAGGCAGTGCCAGTGAGCTAACTCCCTGACCTGATTTTATCTTTTTAGTAGTTTTGTGGCTGTCTTCTAATTTTCCTTGCTTTGTTTTGTCTTTGTCCTGGTCCTCCTCATTTCTTACCTTCAATATTTTAAACGTTTCATTAGTGGTCTCTGGCCATCCTGTACATTGTGGCCAGAATCATCTTTCAGCAATATATGTATAATCTGTTCACTCCCCTAAGCCCTTCCGGTTACTTGGAAGGTAAAATCTGAACTCATTTTTGAGATCTCTCTTCCTCCCACTTTAAGTAACCTTACTGATTTCTGCAATCTCCCTGTGCCCTGTGCTTCACCTGTATTGAACTCTTTATCAGTTTTACTTGTGTTTTAGTCATGTATAATTTGAAAGTCAGTGAACTTTGAATAAAGACCTTATGAACTCTTCTGCAATTAAAATGCATATAGTGACATCTGTTTTGGTTGGTCAGAGACCTTTTTGATTTCTTCCTGAACCTTGATGTATTTCCTGTTTTTGAGAATGTGGCATAAATCAATTGAGAATTCACTTGAAATGGTACTTTCTTTAGGAACAACTTTGACTGTAAGGAGTTTCTTCTCTGTGTTTAAATGGCACCTGGGCATGCTTTTATCATAGAACTTGTCATACTGTATGCCAGTTTTCTTTGTAGTATGGTGTCTTAACTGAAGCTAAACACTGCTTGTACCAATTTGTGTAGTTGACATGTGTTACCATTTGCCTATGTGTTTGATTCGGTCACATTTGTAAAAATTGTTATAAATTATTTGGGAAATACTTGAACAAATGTGTAGTATATCCGCTGAATTATCTGGGCTCATGATTTTCATGGAATAGAATTTGAATCTTATTCAGACTAAAGTATGTGTGTGCCTGCATATATGAGAAGAAAGAGAGTACAGGGGAGAGAGAGAGGGAGACAAGAGACAGACTCACATACACATACATGTCCATTGAATTTGGCATTGTGTAAGGAAGGATGTGAAAATAGCCAAATATTGGGAGGAACGTGAGTATGCTTAGCCAAGAACAACATCTGGCATCCATCTCTGAAGGGAGTAGTTGTGGTTCAAAGGACAGTGTTAATTTTTAAAATTATCTCATGACACTTGTAGGGATGACTGTATTTCCTGAGAAAACAAAGGTACACAGTAAAAAAGAAAGTACCTCTTCTCATATATCTGATAGCTTAGGTACTCGAGAAGGAGAAAAAATTCTGAAATATTAAATGTCAAAAAAATACATCTTTGAATCACTGATATGAAGCCTATCACTTGGAGACCAGCTACCTTTATAGCTACTCACTTGGTGAAAGCTGATTAGTAAATATTGATGGAATTTTGTTATTAGTGGTTCATGACTTCCATTCCTGGTACTCCTAAAATACGTGGGCACAAGAAGTAGAAATCCTATCAACTTGATAGACTTGTGAGTTGCAGATATCTGAAGGGTAATGCAGACAAGCAGTGAATAGAAGCTAGACAATTTGAAGGTTTTTCACAAAGGTCATTATAAGAATATGACATCCTGAGGGTTAGTGATAGGTGTGGTTTTGAGACATTGTTCTGTAGGTACTGGCTTTTATAGTAGTTGGAAAGAGCATTATTGTGTATCCTGCAGAACCATACAGTCAGTGTATACACAGTCAAGTCATACAAGTGCAACATTTACATTGGAAGCATTCAAAGATTGTAAAGTAATGTCATAGATTATGTGTTTCCCATTCCATTTCCTTTTCCAGGGCTTCTCAGTCATAAGAAACCTGAGCTCTTGCTTCTTGTCTTATTGAACTGTTGATCTAGTGGATTTAGACACAAATTTAAGTAGACCTACTCAGAACCAGCCAGTGGTTAGGTTGGGCATCTCTGCAGTTTACCTCTTTGTCTTCCAGATTAAGGTGTTCTATCTTCTGTATCTAGTACCATACTTGACATATTGTTAAAATATAAAAATATGTATGGATGGTTAAGCAGATCATGAAGAACATGCAAAACTATTGTGTTTAGTTACAGCCTTTCCTTTGTATTGATATGTTATTTTTGGAACATAGAATAGCTTTAGTTTTTAAGGCACAAATAACACAAAAAATAAGCATGCTGAAAGAACTAATTTAATTAATATCAGATTTGTTTGTTTTCCTCTTTGTAAATTGTTTCTTCATCAAAAGATATATTTGTTTCACACATGAATGCTCTGAACAGTTGTTTTCTTTTTATACAGGGGCCTGAATTAATGAATAAATATGTTGGTGAATCTGAAAGAGCAGTCAGAGAGGTAAGAAGATTATACCTTAAATGACACTCTGCATAGGAGAACCACACTTCTGTTCTTCTCTGTCTTCCATTTCATTTTGTGTAACATTCTTTGAGATCACCAAATCTGGATTCTAGTGGCATGTGTTTTTCTTCAGGCAAATATTCCTATTTGAAAATGAAATTTTTGATAATCTGTAAAACTTTGTGTTTATTTTTAAACATCATAATATTACTACCTTTTGTATTTACCAAGTAAAGGTATTTTTTTAACAAGGATGGACATATCTGTGTTTATAAAGGAACACATATGATCTTAGAATAGGATTTAAAATACTTTAAAATAGGTAGCCATTTAAATTGAAGAAGTTTAGTATATGAAAATTTCACTGTGCTGTATTTACTTATGTTACCTCTTCCTGGTGATTTAGACAGTGCCTCTTCCTTCTCTCTCCTGTATTTTAAACCAGACTTTTAATTCTGTACCTGGTTGATATGCCACTCCTTTGTATCAAGGAAGCTATACAACTGTTAATTTGTACAAAGTCAAGGCAACTGGAGACAAAAACTTCACGTCTTGTCTTTTCTAAGCAGAGACTGACCTGCTTCACGCAGTGACCCCGTATGCTCCCAAAGCTACTTAAAGACAGGAATACACAAACATTAGTGGAATAGATGGTCCTTACTTGTGAAATACTTGAGTACCAAACAGGAAAATTTTGTAATGAGGAAAATTTCAAATTACTTCCCGCCTATTAGATGGTGGTAGTTGTATAAAACATTAATTGACAATGACACATGATAAAGGCAATATTTTTCATATTAATGTCTTGAATTTTTTATTTTTATAATCATACTACACATCAGCATAAAATGGGGGGCCACAGTAACAAACATGAATTTCTTGTTGCCCATACTTCCTTTATTCTAGCTTATTTCTATGTATCACTTCCATGGCTATTTGGCCAGCCTCTGATTTTGGTAGTTTGATGGCTTCTTGCTCCAGCTAGTCCATGTTCTAAGATTTGCCCATTTTTCCCTGGCTTTATATCAACTGTCATTTTCCTATATAGTCTTTAAAAAAAAAGCAAGGTATGAGACTTTTAGATACATGAGTATTTTACGTGTGAATCTGTGGCTGATTTGACATGTATGTTTTTTCTTCTAAATCTGTTTGTTCCAATTAACAATATCTATTGTTCATTGAACTCTTATAAGTTTTTCAGCTGAATGCTTTATGTTCTTTTTTTTTATTCAGTTCTTAAATCTGCAGTAAGCATTTATTATTTTCATTTCATAGATGTGGAAATTGAAGCTTAGAAAAGTAACATTACTTGCTGAAAGTAACACAGCTACTCAGTAGTAGAGCTGAAATTTTAACTGAGAATGTTTAATTGCTTAACTGCACTGCCTCCAATATAGTACCTGTGTGAATATATATTGGTAGTCTTGTCTCCATAATCCTGAAGAGATCAGTTTTTCATCTGCTAGAAAATCTTAGGCATCTGTTACAAGGTTTATACAAAGTGATTGGCTGGTTGATTTGTACGTAATAGAGTTTGTTCTAAAGACAGTTTTCAAATGGAAATGAACTAAAGAATTTTCTGGAATTTTCACCTCTTTGACTGATGTAGTTCTCTTTCCACCAGATCTTCCGAAAAGCAAGAGCAGTGGCTCCTTCCATTATTTTCTTTGATGAACTTGATGCCTTGGCAGTTGAAAGAGGCAGGTAAGAAATAGTTAACAGCATTGCCATTAAGTATTATCAGTTATAATTAGAGTAAATAGCATTTCTTTATACAAATTTTATCTCTTAGTACATTTTCCCCAAATAAAACATTTTTTAATCAATATAATTTTTTCTCATATCCAGTAACTTATTTCACTTGACTACCTTATAATATCTTCCTATACAAATGGAAAAAATCATTGTTCATAGGGAACATTGAATTTTTATAGTTTATTGTCTAGAGAGACTTCTTAATAAGGCCTACCAAAATAAGGTTGTTATAAACATATAATTAATATTATAAACAAAGTGGGATTAAGGGTATTTAATAGATTAGAAACCAGTCATTTAAAAAAGTTACATAGTTTATAGAATTTTCTACAATAAAGTATGTTTCCTAAAAGATAATTAGATAGACTAGAATATAAACTAGTGCAGGTTGAATATTCTTTATCCAAAATTCTTGGAACCAGAAAGTGTTTCATCTTTCAGAGTTTTTCAGTTTGGAATATTTGTTTAGACTTTCCTGACAATACAATAAAAAATTTGGAATTTTGAAGCATTTCAGATTTTTGGGTTAGGAATACTTAACCTGGAATAATTTTTGTTCCTGAATTTCAGGCGATAAAGAAGATTGTCTATTATGTCAAATATGTATGTTCTGTACAACAAGTATACAGCTTTTACACTCTATAAATGTTTGGAGGTCCTTAAGTAGTATGTAGTACTTGTGCTATATACATATACAGGTACTTTATGTTCTTTGTGCATCTTGATGTTTAAATTGATTATAAAATTTTTGCTGATAGTAATTACAAAGAAGGTGGAACATTTAGTAACTTCCTGTATTAAATGTGGTAAGAAGCATTGCTCTTACGTTCTTCCTACATAGTGCTGCCTCATCAGTATAAATTGTCATCAGGAAACTATCCTTAGGACCACTACCCTATTTGTCACCTTCTACCCATTTGATATTTAATATTTAATACATATATCAGTTTTTTGTTTGGTATTTAAGGCCTCTTACTACTTCCAAGTTTGAGATGGCACGAAGGGGACATATAGTTCAAGTTTACTATAACTATAAGAAAAGAAAAAGCACCTATGAAAATTTGCTGAAGTACTATGACCTATCATGCTCAGGTGACATCAGAGCCACCTTGGTTTGGAGCCTAAAAAGGAACGAGGTGGAATACATTGTTAAATGTGAACTAAATGGGGGCTAAAATTTGTGGCAGAGTTCTCATAAAATGCTTCTGAAATAAAATAGTGTGGGAAACCAGAAGAGGGACTTTGTAGAAATACCCTGTTTTTGCAGGCAGTTTGCCTCAATAGGAATTTGTGAACATACTATAGATACTGATGATTTACAGCTTCTAGATACCATTTCCTGTAGTAGTCTTCATCATTTTTAACTTTTCAAGGAGCTGTGTTGTATATATCTCCTTCTCTCACTGCCTTGATCAAATCAAATATAAATGAGTTCTTGTACAGAAAAACTTATGTAATGACTATTAAGTTATTTGATATTTCAGAAAGCAGAGATGAAGCTGATAAGTGTAATGCTGATGGGTCCAAAGTAGGGGTTTGCTTGTACTTTATTTGTATTCTTATGTAGTCTGTTTTTTATAATCATAAGGATCTCATAGAGTGATATTTATGTTCAGTTCTTTTTTCCTAATTATACGATAGGCTGTTATTGCCTATGAATAATTATTCTATCTCATTAGATTGCTATTACTTGAAAATTAAAACAAAAGCTCCACATGTATTTTTTGTTCTTAGGCTATTGTAATTAAACAGTTTTTAGAGACTGAAAAAACTACTTGTAGCTATACCAGAAATATAAAACTCAGGATGCTAAACCAATTTCATGGACTTTTAAATCACTCTTGTTGTAAGGAAGCAGAAGAATTAAATTATATGTGAGACATTTCTATGTAATATTAGGCTAGAGAATAATCATTGATTTCATTTGTCCAAAGCTATTTTCTGTTTTCTGTGATAACATTTAGAACAAACCTATACAACTATATCAAAAATGACAGTTCAAAGGAAATTTTTTAATCAAGATTTTAATTTCCAAATTCAAATATTTAAGCAAATTAAGCAGGGTATTGTGGCATGTGCTAGTTATTATGCTTTTGTGCATGTTAAATTATTTTGAATATTTGAAGTTATAAAAAAGAAGACCTAGTAATTAGCCATGAAATTGAGGATTGATTGCAGACAGAACATTTTGAATAGAGCATAGACATGCTATTTGCACAAATCTTCATGCTTTCATAATAATATGTCAATTATACCCTCTCTTTTTACCACTTCCCTGCTGTATTTAATAGTTTTCTTTGGAAATTGAAACATAAATGAGCTTGATACTTTTCTTCTGTACGCTATGGCTGTTTAAATTATGGATGTTTTGAATGGGGTTGTTTTACTTCGTATTGTGAGTTGAAGGAACTTAATAATTCCTTTTAGAAAGTTTTAATGATTTCTGCCACATTTTGGAAAATTGTAAATGTGGTTAAAGTAGCTTAGGTCTTGAAAATAGATAATGTGATGGGGGACGAGGCATTGAATGAGGAGAATTGAATCACACTGGGCTATTAATACTAGGTAACTTTCACTTAGTGCTTATTCTATACTTGTACAAAACTGTTTTAAGTATTTTATAGGTAAAGAAAAGGATTCTTGCATTAGTGCCAAGTAGGATATTACACATCTGGCAGTTGACCCAGAATTCTGTACCACCTATTAGCTAGTTTAAATGTTTACCTTTTAAGTTTATAGTGGGAAGGAGAGCAAAGTAGGCAATAAATAGATGGTCAGCTTTTTCTTAGGGAGCAAACCTGACACCAGAAGTAGAGAGATGCAGGGTTGACCCAGGCTCCTCTGAGGAAATAAGTACTGATGATATTGGAGATTCCTAGGACTTTCTGTTGTTCAGGAGATTTTTCCAGCCTAGGCAGTCAGGGATCCTGAATCAATCCTCATCAACCCAGGCATTGCCAAGTAGTGCCAAACTTAAAGAAGGATTAGAATAGATTTGAAACCAGGGATAAATATATGTACTTTAGAGCCACTAACTGGAGAGGCCCATCTTGCTTAAGTAACTTTCAGATAATTTGACTCCCTTTGTTTGGACCTCATCACGATATTGTGGCCTCTTGCTGGGTTACTTCCTAATCTTCACAGCAAGCCCAGGAAATGTAGGTTCTGCTTTCATTTCCATTGTATAGGTGAGGAAACTCAGGTATATAGATGCATAAATTCCTTACTTAAGGTCTGTGTCACTAGTGGAAGATCAGGGATTGAAAGTTGGGTGTTTTGACTCCAGAGCAGATACTCTGAGGGAATTTTTAATTCAACTACTATACCACATAGACCGGAGTTCCAGACATAAGAAACTTCCAAGCTTGTATTTATTATGTATTATTTTCTCAGTAAGCTTGTTCTTATTATGCATTTTCTTTTGTATTTATCTTGCATTTTCTGTGTATGTTAGGAATGACACTGTCTGCTTAACTGGGCAGTTGTTAAGACATCCTTGAAAGCATTCATTCATTCACTCATTCAGTAAATATTGATTGATTGTAGTATTGGGAATTGAACCCAGGACCTTCATGGCTTCATACTGAGATACATCCTCAGCATTTTATTTATTTATTGTTTTTGAGATGGGTTCTAAGTCATAAATTTGCTCAGACGGTGGTTGAATTTATAATTCTTTAGTAAATATTTATTGAATGCTCCTCTGCCAGACTTTGTGCTGGGAATAAAAAAGTGAATAGGATGTAAGACAAGTTCCTAAACCCCTTTAAGACTTGGTTTACTTCATCTGTAAAGTAGAGATGGGTAGCACAAACAAATTATAGATTGTTGGGATTAAATACATATAAAGGGTTTCATATTGTACCTGGCATTCAGCAACTGCTTAGAAAACTTTAGTATTTGTTCTTAAAATAATTTTTACAAGATATTCTTATAGTAGTAATTTCCGTATGAGTAGAAATATAATTAGGAAAAGAATCAATCATATACCAACAAATCTTACATTGTAGTAGAGGAAATTAACTGAAAGCATTTAGGAATTAGAAAAAAGTATTCCACAGGTGACAACCATTGTGGTACAATATAATCTCGGTTCATAAATGCTTCTGTTTAGGAACAATTCGGTTCATGAACAAAGACATTTGGCAAAATTTTGCTTTGGTTCCTAGCATCGGTGACAAACACAACCATGGGCATCTTCCCCACATGAAACACAAAAGCGGCCATCTTTCCTGCTGTGACACTTGCTAACAGCTTCCCCTAATCGAGGTTGATCACAGTCTTAGACCTGTGCACACTTGCTGTGAAGCTTTTCTGTGTGCATTTTAGCACATACAGTACTGTACAGTATTATTCAATCCAGCATGGCTCCAAAGAAAGTGCAGAGCAAGCATGATCTTAAAAAGAAAGTGCAGAGCAGTTATGAAAGGGACAAGAATGTGCAGAGTGGGCCCAGGGATTTAGTTCAGTGGTGCTGCTGCCTGCTTTGCAAGCACAAGGTCCCAAGTTCAATCCCTGGTACCAAATAAAAAATAAACAAATAAAGAAATAAATGTGTAGAGTCATAATGAAAGTAACCAGAATGTTCAGAGTGATAATGAAGGTGACAAAGTACAGAGCAAGAGTGGTAAAAGGAAGATTTTGAAGAAAATAACCACTGAATTGAAGAAGAAAATTGTTGAAAAGCATAAGCATGGTATTCCTATGACTGATCTGGCCTCAGAGTACTAGATGGCAAATTCTACCATCTGGACTATTTCGAAGAATAAAGATGGCATCAAAGGAGCTGATGTGGCAAAAGGAGTAACGATGTTGACCAAGGAGAGGACACAGTGCTAGAAGAGGTGGAAAAACTTGTGTGGTTGAATGAGAAACAGTTGGTGAGTGATAGTGTTAGTGAAGTTCTGATCTGTGAAAAAGCCAGGAATGCACAGTGATTTACTGCAAGA